CATCTCTTGCCTTTGCGGACAACTGCAGTGTACTCTCGGAGATCCAGTCTCTCTTGTGGCGAAGAATCTTACTTAGCTGCCCCAGCACCGCTTAAGTCATCACAGAAAGTTTCGTCTATGTTGGAAGCGGTTGCGTCCAGCAGCGCCTGTCTTCTCTCAGGTCGTTCCAAGAGCGCGAAGTTGAATTTGCCCGGGAGACGAGTCCTGCGGCGAGTAGTCAGATGGATCTTGAGGCGGGCGCTTACAAGGGTGTGGTCTGTACCGTTCCTGTTTACAGTTTCTGCGCCGCGATAGGAACGGCAGTGTTCGGCCGAAGATGCCCAGCCAGCACGTACCAAAATATAATCAATCTGATGTGCCGTTCGACCATCATTTAAGTACCACGTAACCAGGTGTTTTCTGGTTTGCTGAAAACGAGTTTTGGCCACGATCAGCTGGTTAAGGTCAGCAAATGTGACTAGGTGTTCACCATTTTCGCAACGTTGACCAAGGCCGAACTTTCCCAGAACATGCCGAGTATGCTCGTCTGATGGACCACTGCGTGCGTTCCAGTCTCTTGCAATAACGAGAATGTTGCGTCTCGGATTGCGATTCACTGCGTCTTGAACTTGGTTGTAGAAGTCATGTTTGATGGGCTCTTCTGCATGTTGCGTATGACCATATACAGCGATGGCAGTCAGGCTTTCCCCTGAAGCGCTGTATGGCAATCCTGGGAGAGAATGGCTTCCAGGAGATCATGGATTTTATTGGTCAGGCCGCTCACGACGATTGGTACCCCGTGGAAACCGGAGTTGTCATTTAGGTCGCTGTGGTATAACCGGTAGGTTGTGCTACTACGGTGCTATTACTATGGTACGTTGATTAGTTTTGTGCCACAGTTAGGTGGTCGGACTTCGGATAGACAACAGGTGTCTACCTTGTAGTCGCGGAGTGAACGCATCGTGATACACTGGATTGCTGTGTCTATCAATGTTCTAACATAGCAGTAGGCTACATGGATGCTGGATCTGGTGCATAGATGGTTCCCAGCTTGCTCATTTGTCACCCCAGCCGCTGGGAGAGCGCAGGGTGCGTCGCTTCTCGGGAACGCCGTAGCATGAACGTGAGGTAGCATTGTATGACGATCCATGAAGAAACTTGGGATTGAGATACTAAGTGACATCCCCAGCTTTTGTTCAAGGGTGCACCTCTAACCCTTGCACAACCAAGTGCTACCTGCAGGGTAACAGGGTAGAATTGTTGGTAGCCGGTGACCGTTAGAACGGTTCATACGCCTTCCGGATGGCTCTGCTCCAGTCCAGGATCCCTACGTGCCAGTGAGGTATGAGGGTCGGTAGCATTCCTCAGAGTTTGTCCTACTCGTAAGAATAGGCAAGTAACAATGGCCTTATTTGGTGGCGGGCCACATTCGCACACATCGCGATGCTGTCAGCAGACACTTATGGCATTTGAAGAGGATATCGGTTGCCAGCCGAAAACCACGCCACATCCTCTAGCATTGCCGCTGATCGTCCGCGACCCATTATTCAGTGAGGTAACCCCACCTATTCATGGTTAACCACCAAGGTGGCCGTTCTCCTATCCGTGACCTGGAGACGCGCTCGGTAGCACTCCGTACTGTGCTATCCGTAGACAGTTCATTGATTACGGGCCGAGATCAGTTCACATGCNGTTCAATACCGAAAGAAGACAAATGTGGTGAGATGTTAACATTTCGTTTAATCAACCCAATCACTGATGCAAAACACAGTGGCATGCGCACCCCGCGACAAAAGTATTCCACACACACCTTCCGATATTTTTGAATTATCTCTACTCCTACACGCACGATCATCAGCATCCTTAAGAATCTAGACAGCAAACGAATTAAAATTTGATATAAGCTGTTTCTTCCAATTATGTTTAATTTTCACGATTCTATTGCACCCTCCATGTACTTCACATACTCACCTCAGTTTTGAAACGGGTGCGATAAACATTCCGAGTTTGTACTTGGACATGACAAATGACAACCGTGGTAAGCCAGTGTTTGACACACTGATGTAAGCTACGATCATGCCTACATCACTCTCAATGAGCTTGAAAGAATAAAGACATCTAAGTTGGTCACTAAAAGCCATGGCTAGCTATGGCGCAATGAAAAAAACTTACATTCGGTGCGAACGCTACAACAAACACTTGAAGCGATCCGTCCCTTGGAGAAGATACAAGAAAGTGAGAAAACGCATGCCTCTAAGGGCTTTACCAGTTGACTTTTGTTACGAATTAACCTCAAGTAACTTGGAAAAACGATCGGAATGTTGTCTACTTTAGCGAAAAAAAGAAATTCAATTTAGATGGACTGAAGGGTGGAATTACTAC